TTGAGTTTGTCATTAGTGGTAATGTTTTGAGCCGAGGTAATAAGGTCATCGGAAGAAGTGATATCAAGTTCTTTTGTGATTTTTTCGCTGATTTCAAATGAACCATCTTTCTTTTGGGTAGATGTGACAGTCTCAATAGTTTCAGGTGTTGTAGCAGATTGGATTGCAATAACAGCGGTTTTCTTTTTTTCCACAATAACTTCCTTAGTGATATTATCTACCACGTATTTGTCAGTACAGTCTAATAATTCTTTCTTAGTTTTCTCATCACCGATTTGTTCAGAAAGATATTTTTGTGCTTTGTCATATTTTTCTTTCCATTCTCCTTCGTGTTGAGAAGCGGCATTCTTGAGATATGAAAGAGTCAGGGCTGTTGACCACCATGTAGATGATTCGGGTTTATTTAACTTCTCATTGGTGGTATATTTTCGTACTGTTGTTATAACTTCGGTTTTAGGGACTGTAGAGACATGTAATTCCTTGATAACATTTTCACTCAATTCAAAGCATCCGTTATCTTTTTGGGTTGAAATAATAGATTTGGTTTTTTCGGGTGTGGTTTTTGATCGCACTGCAATTAGTGCAGCTGCTTTTTCTTGATGATCTTGTTCATCGGTATCAAAGGTAAGAGCTTCCTCAATATGTTTTCCGAGATCCTTAGCAGTATCAGTAGTTGATTTATATATACTTGTCAATCCACCAGTAATACTACTGAAAATTCCTTCGGTTTTTTCTACTTTAGCTTTTTTCGTTTCAGTTTCAATGGCCTTGACTTCCTTTATCTCCTGTTTATGTTCCTCAATAACTTTATGTGTTGCCTTATCAATTACATATTTGTCAGTAGCTTCTAATAACTCTTTTTCTGTCTCGGAATCACCAATTTGAGCGGAGAGATATTCTCGAGCTTTGTCATATTTCACCCTCCATTCGCCTTCGTGCTGGGATGCTGCATTTTTGAGATAGCTGAGATTAATGGCAGTGGTCCACCATGAAACTGATTCGGGTTTTTTAAGTTTTTCATTTTTGGTATAGGTTTGGACTGTGGTTACAAAGGTTTTAGAAGATGGTATATTTAATTCTTTGCATATAGTTTCACTCAATTCAATTTGGCCATCTTCTTTTTGAACTGAAACAACTTCCTTAATGACCTTAGGTGTAGTAGTTGATTTGATGACTTCTATTGCTGCTCCTTTGTGTTCTTTAGTAACCTTCGTTGTTGTTTTTTCAACAATTACTTTATTTGAAGTCTTGATAACTTCTTCTTCTAATTCAGGATTATTGAGTTTTATATGAAGATACTCTCGTGCTTTACTATATTTATCTTTCCAGTTACTTTCGTAGTGGGGTGCAGCTGTATTAAGGTAACCAAGAGTAAGTGCAGTTTTCCATACGGAGGAGTCAACAGATTTGAGTTTGTCATTAGTGGTAATGTTTTGAGCCGAGGTAATAAGGTCATCGGAAGAAGTGATATCAAGTTCTTTTGT